TATACAGGTACCTGAAGCTAAGAACTACCATACCTCAGATTTCAACCATATTGATAAAACACATTGCCTACTTGAGGTATTTTGTTTCTGAGGTATTTCAGAATTGGGATACGTTCAACGTAAATTGATGGGATCTAGAAATGGTATAGTCATATCGTATTTCTTCTATGAGTAAGTGCTACCTCTCTAATATCGTCTCTATTTGGCCTGTGGGTAGAGTTGGATATATGCATTTTTAGAATTACTTTTGAGCTGTTGCGTTATAGCTTTGAAACACTCAGCGATTTTGTCCTTATCTGCCTTTTCGTTGTCTTGACATGAGTTATTAGCCCTTATACATGATAAGTGGAAACCAATAGCATTTGCATATTATATAGGGCCTATACAGGGTTTGCATGTGAAATTTGCCATTATACTGACCACATTGCATTCAGTATATAAATATCTAGAAAAGTTAAAAAATAATACAAGTTTGTTTTATATATATAAATTAAAAACTTATGAAAGTAGTGACACCATCTAGCGAGAATTACGAATGATAATGAATAAATAAACCAAGTAGGCCTAGTCTACAAACTAGCCGCCAAACGAAACCCGAAATTCAAAACAACATTTTTGCGGAACATTGGTAGTAGCTAATGAACTTTTCACACGAGGAAGTATATGTGATAATAAACAATTTTCATTCTACATGTTATTATTTATTTCCACTTATCATGTCACCTAATGTAGTTGCAACTTGGAGATCTTAAGGTTGTTTATGAAGCTTCGACTTTAAATTGTTTTTTGAATTTACGTCATAACCTGTCAGTGCCAAAAAAAAAAAGTTTGTGTGTCTATTAATTATTTTGACATGAAACATTTCTAAATATATATATATAATATGTAATTATAATCTATTTCAGATTGTCAATATTTTTACAATGTAATTCGAGGTAAACATCAACTAGGAAAGCCATAACTCAAACTGAACGTCACATAGGTAAGAATTGATTTTGATCTTTTAAGAGTCACAATTTGTTTAACTCAATCAATGTTTTTTCGAGTAGCGTCGAAAACTATTAAGGAGGTTGGAATTGGGGAAAAGAGTAATGAACTTCGTTCGACCTGATGAAAATCTTCCAGTTTTTCGAGGTGTTGACTGTATCAGAAAGAAACATTAGTATCTTAACAGCCTGTTAAAAATGATGAAATTTGCATGGGATAATCAACTTCTCGTCGTCATATCAAATACATTATTAGTTTCTTCATTCTAAACTATTGCACGAGTAAAGGACGGTTCCATGATTTATTCTGTATACCTGGAGATAAATGGGAAATAACTCGTTAGTATCTGTCACAAACCGAGCTCTGACTTGGAACGTGTGTATTGATCAAACACAAGGAGTATTATCAGATCTTACCGTTATAAGATGCTTTCATTTCTCCCGCGCAAAAGGTTTAGATTATAGCCTTTAGTCTACAGAACATGCGGATCAGTGGCGATGTACTGAGGTACTGGGGGCATGCCACTCCCCTTTTCAAATTAAGTCTGGCTCTGCTTTGCTGCCTGGTGAGCCCCTTTGACTATTAAGTGGCCCGCACTCGGCCTCTCAATCAAGAAACACTTATGATGCGAATTGAATAGTAAAATGTCATTGTTCGATGAAAGGGAGTTTTTCTGCTCTTTTTTGGAGGCTAGTAACGGGTAGATGAGGAAAATGTTTACACAGTGGTATTATTCCACAGATTTATAATTAGACAAAATCTGTAACACATGAGGTCCCATCGAAAAAGCTATGTTTTTTACATGTTGATCTGCATCACTGAAAGAGGGACGGGTTGGGTTGTAAAATCCGAAGATATCATCTCCAGCTGCCTTGGTTAAAGCTTCCAATACATTGGCCGCTGTGTGTGTATATATAATATTTTGAATGTAGTTTACGTAATAACATTTATATATGATTCTTCCAGTGCATAGAGTTTGACTGATGTAGGTAGGGTCTGCCTTATAATCAATGTTCATCAAGAATTAAAACATCCATCAGATTGACAGTTATAGCACTTCATTAATCACAGGCCCATGTTCACACACTACGTAAAAAGTCCCCTAATGTATTCAAGATTGAATCCTTGTCGGTGATTCTACAGGTCCAATATCAGTAACAGTAATTCATTAGTCACGATTGAAAATTGAAAAACCTCATAATCATTTATCTTCCTTGTCCTTTAAATGCCTTCAAGTCGCCAGCTTAACCTCAACAGAATTTCTCCCTGCAGATCTTTTGGTATTTTTCACCTATGAGTATCTCAAGGTTAAGGGGACGTATATAGGACGTAAATTGTAGGAGTAAATTTACATTTAATTTCTCTTTTTTTTAAATATGATTACGGAGGAGAGAAGACATGGTGATAAAAAGATGACCATTGTACTATTAAAGGAGTTATTTGGGACGAACAGAAGTGTTGGTTCATTTCTTTTGATACAATGGTACTATACCTGTATAGTGAACATAGACCACAACTTGATGATATATACAATGTATATCTATCACTATACAGTAGGTAAATGTAATAGGTGAAAAGTTAAAATCTGTATCAATCTCAGTCTTAACTTAATGATTTGTTAAATTGATTTGTCTGTATAATTTAAATCTGAAAACTAACAAAAAGTCGAAACGTTCCAATAGTAAGTTCAATTTTCAGAATTACAATTATCATCTGGTCTTTTCTCATTTATTTACCTAAAATCATCAACTAAACTCATAAATGTTAGACGTGGAATTACTCTTATGTGTCAACTACTTATGTTGGTTGTAGAACCAAAACGATATGGTCAATTTTGAATCCAAAATTATACAAAAAAACTTTAAGATCACCAACAAATTTGATAGGCATATCTTTGATACAACCCTTCAAACCACACATTAATACATTAATCAAAATGTTTTCATCGTGGAGAACAAGTTAATTGTGACAAACGAAATTGGCTTCATGTCGACTAATATATTAACGCCCACAGGAGTCTTGGTTTTCGAAGTTCTTTCTCAAAATGCTTCGACTGTCGTGACCGATATAGAAGCATTGCACTTTCATAAATTTAATTACAGATAAGCGATATAATATGACGTTGATTTTATCAATGAAAATATATTTATAATTTTGAAAAATCAAACCCTAATGATTGTAGTATACTCATTAAATTTATTTACTATTATCGCATACATGCTGAAATGGATGGAAGTTGAATATACTTTATATTAAAACCCTGTTTAAATTATGCCACTACTATTGATTGGTGTGCTAATTCGTCCGCTTGTGATAATGGTTAATTCCATCTAATCCTAAGTATTTAAATTAGACTGGACAATTAGGTCAATCACAGTAAATATCAATTTCTGGACGGACAATAAACAGTATATTAGCTTATGAGACAGTTTTGTTATCAGTTGCCTTTAATAACTAGGGTAAAGTAGCCGTGCAAAACTTTATATTATGTGGAAATAAATTACAGGTACTATAAGCGACGGATATTATCAGGTGCATGACTAATTGGAAAGGTACATCAAACTAAAATATAAATCATTGCACTAGCTCGACTTGCTTTCACATCGTTTGTAAGGATAAGCATTGATATACACTGATATAGCTTTTAGGGTCTACTGGTTCAGATTCGACAAATGCGATCCTTTTTCTTTGAAAGTTTTCGTGAGAGATTCGAAAAAATTAGTATGTTTAATGCAAACCTTAAAATGAAGCAGTCCTTTGGCGTTTATCTTTCTAAGAATCCATTTACCAATTTTAAATTACTGGACTATAAGCAGTGGTTTGCTCTTCCATTAGATTTTACCATTAGATACTTTTTATCTGACTGAATACCCATTTAATGTTCAATTCATTAAAAAAAATATTCCGTATATCTAATATCTATATGAAATTTTCTTCAAGTGAATTTCAATTCTATCGAATTGGGTCATTATCTTATTTGGATGGTTATAGTACAATGTTTTTTGTAACACCAAAATTGCTTATAAATTATAGGTATTCTGGTTTTTTTTAAGTGTTAACACAGCTTAACATTTACTCATATGAATTGAATAGCCTAATATTAAGAAGACTTGCGATAAACATCCTTCAAGTAATTGTGAATTCTTTACGACAAAATTCACACATAAAGACAGAATCAGTCTTTCTTTTTTCAGAACTAGACCTTTGTGCTTCTTTTTTTTTTCATCTGACAGATTTTGAAGCACTCGGTTTTACCAAAATTATCATAATTCGACTGAGTAACACATGTGGCAAAAAAAATAGTTGGTAACAATTTCACTGCCCAATGTCGCGTTTTCTATGATTTGAATAACTTATTATTTACTAAACAATTCTCATCTTTTTTATGATAATCGACACAACAAACTGCATGCAATCTCTGATCTGATAAATGCTTGATATAACAATATATAATGTCAAAATGCATTTAAAACCAGAGTTGATCATTTACACCAAGGATCTTAATGATCGTATCCTAAAATTCCGGTCTTTGTCAGTATTTTAATGTATAAGTTATACTCAAGTATCATGTAAAGTGTGTTAATGATTGAACAATGTTCATCATGATTCAACATTTGGGTTGTAGAACAATCTCAATTACTGTCCCATTGTCCAGTTATTTTCATTATTGTATTATTTCAGATCATTTAAAAAGACAGCTGTGCGTAACGGTACTTTAAGTTCCGCCAATTATCAACGCAAACCGTAAATACAAAACAGTTTCCTTAGCAACCATTAATAATACTACAGTTACAGATCACATGAAACTAAACTAGTGCCATAAACAGCCAATCAAATTATTGGAAAAATTGTGACGTGAGTAGGGAAATCTCTCGACAATGCCTCCTCCAACCAGTAAATCGAACGCCAGTGGCGCGACTGGCAGAATCTCCAATACGGGAAGTTCAAGTAGTAAATCGACTTTGGGCTCCAAAACGGGGGCTAAGCCCTCGACGAGCACCATCAAATCAAAAATGGGTAACGGGGCAAGTGCTACCCAAATGGTGGTGGACGGAGAAACGTATGATATAGCGAAATTAAAGTTATTATTCCCCGAAATGAAGTCGGAATTGAAGGATAAGGATGCCAAAATACGGAAATTAGAAATTGAGAGTCGTGACAAGACTAAACAAATTAACGAAAATAACAAGGAGATAACACGTTTGAAAGAGGAGGTTCATAAATTGAAATCAGTGCTACAATTAAAGGTTCACAAGGATGGAAAACCTGATATTTTAGCAACGATACAAGAGACAGAACCACCGGTAGTTGTACAGGAAGTACGGAGTAAGAAACAAGGTGTTTCAGGTGAAAGCTCCTCTAATTCTCAGAGTAATGTGGAATTAAAACATCATGATAAAGATTTCAGGTAAGATCTAATTATTAATATATTCCTTTATGTAACCCTTTCTTTCAGAATATCAGACAAACCTAATTTCATTCAAATTTCAATTTTTCTGAAGAGGGATTGGCCTACAATGGTGTCCACTGGAAGTTGCTGTTCCTTGAAATGTGAATCATTGGTTTATGTTCTATAACTATGCCTTTAGTTATTAACGTGCAATCTTTAAGACCGGTTTCTATCAAGAATTATTTGTCGCGTGACAAGCCAATTAACTCACATTAATTGAATTGCTAAGGTATTTGTTCACACGTATTAAGATAGAATTCATTCATGCTTATACTGAAGAATTTAAACGGTCGTTTTCAGTTACGTTAATGACCTATTAGATCTTAGGTAACATGGAGTCGAATGTCTGTTGTTTACATTCTTTGATTAATGAGATAATATGA